AAAGAACTAAAGTGCGTTCATGTTAGAAACTATCTATAATTAGAAGTAAATGTGGAGGTAAAATAGCTGTGAGGGGGGCAGTTCAAAATCCTTCGCCTTTGCAGTGTTTTCCAAACATTTCAAAGGGTAGTGCGCGCTTAGAACATCTTCATAACTATTACTGCAGTTGGTATTGCCAGTAATTAGTACAAATAGTAATTTAGAGCATCACTATTCGCTACGGTGGTGCACCGCTCAGTTTGCGTTAGCACCCGGTTCGACCTTGCCCCGTCCAACCATGCTCCCCATCTATTTGAGCTCTTGTAATTTGCACATCAATTCTTCAGTACGTGCTTGCTCACTGCAATCCAGAAAAGTTGACGACAACCTGTCTTGATTGTGTAGAAATGCCCTATCACGACATTCCCAGGATTTCTGGAAGAACAGGCAATATGGAACAGCATACAGAAAGAAAGAAAGAGAAAGATAAGTTTTAAAGCACCACTCCAAACAACATATCAACCCGAAGCTCGGTAAGTGATGTCTGCGAAGAGAAGGGAAGCTCGAAGCGATAGAACCCGCTCAGTATGTGATGTCATATCGCGTTCAAAATTCAATCGTGGTGCACCATATAGATGGTCCATACCGATTCCAGCCTAAACGGCGTGCGTGATGAGAAGGAACCATTTAAATCTAGTCTTACTTTTTTTTAAAGGGGTTACGACGATATAGGTTTTACCGAAGTTATCGGAGCGAAAACGATAGATGAGGACGGTGAAGTGCCTTGGAAGAAATCATTAAAACGGTGAAATGCTCAAATTTTCCCATGTTCAACTTTCCTCCACTTAATTCGAGTAAACTAGCTGCTGCTTGTCTAGGCTACTCTAGCAAATAAATTATTTCCACTTTCAGTAAGTGTTTTTGAGAGTTCTAGCCAAGTCTTCATTTAACTGTTGGTCGAACAAGAATGAAGTTTTTAAAAAATTCTGCCCGGCGATGGTGTTCCAAGTGCTTTAAGACACTGTCATTGAAATGGTTTTAACATTTAACACAGCATTTTCATGCAAGAGGAGGCGGATAGCACAGTGGCATTGATGTCTATCATCGCCAGCATGGTGCTTGCTCGATTACGCTCCAGGCCCAGCAAGCCTCCGATCTCTGCCGTGTTGGGAAATTGGTACCGGGCTCGTCCAGAAAGCAGCCACTCTCTGCTATTTAAATGAGAGCGCTCCGGCCCTCTGACAAATTCACTTTAAGAAAAAAGTGTTTAGACCACAAACATTATGACAAACTGGTCGAGAGAGATGTGGGAAGGTGTGGTGAACAGAGCGGTTCGAATGCTGGCATCAGGTCCATTTGGTGCGAACTTCGCTTCGGCATTTCCGACTGTCAACTGAAACGTCAGCATAACTGCGAAACGTTTGGAATAAGCTATGCCGCCGTTAAGTTTTCAATGCTAATAAAGTTTTAAACCAAAAATGTGCTGGATACTTGGACCTGTAAAAAAAGTCAAGTTTAAAATGTGATAAATCACTAATGCTATCCTTGTAAGCCGACTGAAGTCATCTGCATACATGAAGTGGCCTGGAAAAAACTCGAAGTCTCGAAGTACATTTGAAAACTGCTCCATCCTCAGCTCACGGTAGGTCAAAAAAACTCGTAAAAATATAAATACCCTGCAGAATCAGTAAAAGATTTAAAACAAATAGTTTTACTGTGATATCTCATAAAAGAAGACCTGTTGTAGCAATTAAGAGAAACACGAGATGGATACAGTGCTACTTTGTTATTCCTCCTCTCGCGCTTGCCTACTACCCCTCATGCCTCACGGGTCGACAAGTTTGCACCTGATTTCACAGAAACAGAAGCGCTGATTTGATTAGGTGGTGAGCAAGCGAGTTTCACTGTGCGAGCCAAATATACAACAAACAATTTCTGAGATGTTTGATAGAATCAAATGCATGGCGCAAAGAGAAATTGCTCAACTACTAACGCCTTGGTTTTCACTGTTGTGGAAACGCTGTAGAAATTCAAACAAAAATGCACTCGCCGCTTTTTGAGAAATGGTCAGATTTTATGGTTTAGTGTTGACTGGTTAACTTTGAGATAAGACCTTGTATGTTTGTTTCCCTTTCATCAATCTCTGGACTTTAATTTTATATCGTATTTTATTTCCTTCCTAATTAATCCTTGTTATTTATCTGAAAACTGTTCATTGCGGATTACGGTTTCTAAATGGCTGTACAATGCACCTACCTTTCTCTCGCCGGTTGCACAATTTGGCTACTAACAACAGGTGATGACGATTTATTCGTGACGGGAAAGTTGGAGATGAAGAAGAACACGCGCGACGATAGGATTTCGCATGAACTGACTACGTAGGAAATAGAGTGCCGATACCTCGGACATGTAAGAATTTCTTTTGTTCAATGACAAGACTTTTGTCATTTAATTGGCCTATGTCCATCCTTCTGTTTTTCGCCTCTTGTTGAGCGACCACAAGGAACTTGGTGCGACCAGCGGAAGCTGTAGAGGTTGCGTGGAAACTATGGTGAAGAAACGGTTAGTCGATGGCAATGACTATCATCTAAGTTATCATGGCTTTGCTACTAGCATATTTATTGCTGTGTTATTATTGTATTAAATCAGGAACCAACAAGACACGAAAAATGTTGTTCAATTTCGTAGCCTAATTGGAAAGCTCAGACACAGGTGCATGTGAAGGAAAACATCTCACATAAATCTCACGAAGTGCCCTTGTTGAAGTCACATTGCCTTAGATTTTTACTTAGTACCTATCTTCTCTCGTGGCAAAGTGATGTTTTAAATACAGCTGGAAGTAGGCTGAGACCCAAGCGAAACTTGCAACCTTAGGTGATAGGTTTTTATCAGTGAAAACTTTTCAGGCAAGAGAAAACGAAGGACTCGGTTGGGAAGAAGACTGCACTTCAGTTTTCGGAAAGGGTAATCGCGACTTCAAAGACCACCAAGGGTTCCGAGTTTTGTTGATGTCGTAGAATCCTTACGGTTGCACTCGCTGAGATGAGGTGGTTTGATACTCTGAGGAAGTCGCCGAGCACCCAATCACGGCAACCACAACAACAACTGCTACCAACCACGCGTCGCCTCAAACAGGGAAGGTAGGAACGTTTCCACAAATTAATTATTAACGCGAAAACACATTAAAAGTCGGTCTTTCGAACTATGCGATAAATTCTAGTCCATGCACTTGAGAAGGCAAGCCTACGTAAAAACACCCGTGTTAACCAAAAGGAAGTGGGTGGATTGGAAAACATCTACCAAGAGTGCTATGGTAAATAAAAGAAATTTTCCACCTTCTCGCTCGCGTCATCTAATTTACCTTTAAATACAACCAGAAATCAGTTACGTTTACTGAACTGTTCAAGAGCGTAGTTCTAGGAGTTCGTCCCCGACGAAAGTGAGAAGCAAAGCCCGCCTGGAAGCCATATATCGACTGGTAACTAATGAATCAGCTTACGGTAAGATAATCAAAAACTTAAAAATTTTGTATCGTTCAAGCACATTTGCGACACAGAATTCGCTGAATAATCATGGTTGCTGAATGGACAATCTAATATAGTCTACTCTAATCGTACGCTTTTAACAAAACTACTAGAGAGAAAGTACTAGCTGATAATAAATGTCCTTCTTAGAGAAGGAAAGATGAAAACAGTATAGGTTTTAAGCCTAGTCGATAATGAGTTTTCCTTCACCAAGACCTAGCGACGTGGTAAAGATGGAGACCATTCTGGACAATGCCGAAAAGAACAAGTCTCTTAAGTCGCTTTTGTTCACCTCGTTCTGATTAAGAATTACCGTTTATCGGAGGTGCGTACGTTTTTTCAACATTGCATTGTGCGAAAGTGAGCAACGCAGCGCCCATCCAGTGATGTGCTTTGTAATCCTTCCATTCCAAATCGTCGCTCAGAGCTAAGGATAAAAAAGTTATATTTTCATGTTATTAGCCAACTTGCAAAGAGACATATTAACAGTTCCAAACCCAGATAGTCGTGGAATCGCCGCAGGTTAAAACTGACTTCCACGCTTCTTTTGACGGGTCGAGAAATCATACGCGCTAGAAATATGCAGTCGTTGAAAGGATTATCAGAAATATGGTAGCATCTGTAGTTGCCTGCTTTCTCGGTGGAACGCTGCCGATCTTAAAAGCGAAGGCTCCATCGCCAGTGTAAATTACGCCCAGTTCTGCTGATCTATTAGCTACTAGGTTCAAGAACCATTCCGTGAAACATTTAGGATTTTTCGTTGACTAAAGCAAAAAATAAAAAAGTTATCAAGTGCGTTAGCTTTACGGCTGTGTAGGCTTTTCAATTTTTAGTGAAATGTTATTGTCAGGAGCACAATATAACGGCATTCTGGGTGGCAGCTCCCTATCGAGAATTTTCACGCCGAAGAGAAGTCAGACACAGTATGAGTGTTCTGTTCATTTTGACCGCTCGTCCTCTGTCCTTCCAGCAAGATAAAGTCACTCCGGTATTGTGGCCAGTTTTCCACATAAATTACAGACACAAGCCTGGTATATAGCTTTCACTCGACTAACGCTTCCACACCTTCCGTTTTCTTCGGAGCAGCGATGACTCAAGCCGGTGGTAAACAGCTGGTCGTTGTGGCGATGTGGTGTTGGCACTTTATTTCAAAGTCTCGATTACGTCTTTGTGTTTTGTGAATACCCAATAAAGTTTCTCGATGGGCCATAAACTTTCTATCTAGATGCCGTTTCGTACGCACGCAGAGTGGTATATTCAATCTGCCAACGTATTCACTCCCTAGTGCTTTACAAGACGCCGTAGCAGCTACAAGAGCAGGTTGTAGCAGAAATCAAGTAGTAAACTCTCTAATAATGTCAAGCAGTTGTGTACGTGCCTTCTTTTTCGTTCCCTGTAGCTTCACAGTCCATTTATAGAGGCGGGTGAATAGTACTCCTACTTTGCAAGAAGGTTCGATACCCGACAGCTACTGCTTGGTGAATCACAGGTATTCAATCACCTGTATTCCAGTTGATCGTCGAGTGACCAAAGCGGGCGAAGGTAAATCTTGCACTTTCCTCCGTCGCGTGCAAGAGTAGCCCAGTGGGTTCCGTGCCCTTTGTTCTCCTCGCTGCATCCTTGATGCTCTTGAAGGTTGGTCAAGCCGCTCGTTTCCTTTGTGCTCACCTCTGGAGGTAAGTCGTACGCCAGGTTCATTTCTTGACCTAGACAGGCGCAACCGGAGCATTCTGAGATAATCGATTCGTTGATCATAAATAAGGCATGAGTAGCCAATCCGTTCTTCATAAACATTGTTTTTGTAAGATTTATTCGAAGGCCAATCTTTCCACAGGATTTATCAAAGTCGGCAAGCATATGTAGTCAACTAATGTAGCCATCTTAGTTTCGTAATTGGCGAAGCTTCGGAGGGCTTTGCGAATGCTTTTACCAGCCTCTGCAGCTTTTACCGTTACTGCTGCTCTTCTATTCTTAAATTCTTTTATAGTCCGCCTGCATTGTTTTCCATGTTCGGACGTTACCTCTCGGTTGTCTGCAGCTCGTGTGATTCCACGCTGGCGTATCAGCTCGAGTGCTTCTGGAGACAGACATCTCTCGATGACGTTCGATTTCTCAGCTTTCATAACTCAGCCGTGAAAATGTTGAATGAGCCGATCGCATTCCTCGTCGATGGAATCGGCAACAACATATTCCCAATAACCGACTAATGAATTCAATAAGTCCCAGTTTACGGTGGTTCTGGGACTTCGGTTTTGGAATTTAGCAGCTTTTTCTACTTTCCGCTAGAAATAGAGTCTTGAACGAAGGACACGATGGTCTGACTCCGTGTAGAATTTTGGGACAGCAGCAATATCGCCAAGGCCTCCTATTTACTATGATGTGGTCTATTTCCTTAAGGTACTCTCCATTGAGAGACTCCCACATCCACCGTTGAGGGTGAGGCTTTTGGAATAGCGAGTTACCATGGATTGTCTTGGTCGTCATAATAAACCCAGACAGCCGCTCACCCTATCGTTCCATTCTAATCGGTGGGTCTCAATGAGACGTTCTTCAGGCGCTCTTCTTGGTCCATTCTTGGGGTTAAAAACTCCAGTGATGACCTTGAAGAATGTGTGGTTTTTTCTGTAGATTACCTCCAATTTCATATGGAAAGCTTCTAATTCTTCTAGCTCAAAGTTTGATGAAGCGCGTAAACGAGGAAGATTTTCAAGGCTGGTATTGACCCTTATCCTTCTAATCGCACGCGCCCGATTCCGGTTGTTAGTTGTTGGAATGAATCGATGTTCAAGGTCAAACTCATGTTGATGAGAACGCCGACAACGCAGGCTCCTATGTTGTCGCATGTTTCGAGGAAAATTTCTTCTCAGGTATCATACACGGCGTTGAGTGTGTGGCGCCGTCTCGTCTCGGCCAAGCCGATGACGTCTTACCTCATACTTCATGCTTGCATGGTCAACTCTACTACCGAGGACTCGAATGCAAGTGTGTATGTGCAGGCACAGATCATCGCCCTAGTTCTTTGCGATTTAGGCAGCTTGAAAGAGCCCGTGATTTTAGCACCCTTTCCGTACACGTCTCACTTAGCTCTGCCAAATCAAAGGCTTTTTTGGGGTCAACGAAATAAAGCCGTTTTTTTAAATGTGTTTAGCTTTCTAGTACTTACGTATAGCTCGTAAAATTTTAAACCTGGAGGCCGGGTGTGCTCACGGGTAGCTTGCCATGCTCTCAGAGTGGACATGGAGCGTATTTTCGGAGGTGACTCCTAACCGCCACCCATATACTTCCTTGTCGCTTGATGGCATGCCATTGGCAGTTTTGACCAGTAAAATACAATCCAACTAAAAGGCATCCACACACATGCCTGAACACACGTTGTAAACACGAAAAATATGTGTCAAATCGAAGCAGCAGAAACAGGGATTCTATCCCCTGAATCCACTTGCGCACCAGGGAAACAAAGGTCGCTTTTACTATGCAGTTAGGATCGTGCCAAGTAGCCTCGCGACTAACCGGTTCGAGCTCCCTCATCTGAGGCGATCCGTGGACAAGCTACTCTAAAGATCAACATCATCTTTCTGATGACCATTTTATTTATAGATCGCACATTTTTAATGAAACTCTTACGGTCCACTTGTTACTAATTTACGCGTTACTCACTGAGTCTTCTTATTCAATAATATATTTATTTGACTATAATTCAAGTGTATTGATTGCTGAGCTTACAGGAGGTTAGTAAATTAGCTTTAGGATGGGACCGGGATGGTGTAGTGGTGAAGTGCGCTGCTCCCCGGTAACGGCAACAGCGCGTGTTCGTTCCCCACTGCATACACCTGTGGTCCGGAGTTTTGCAAATATCTCAGCACTTCATACGAGTTAAATTAGCTTTATTCGGCTAACGTTTCGACGCCTTCGTCTTCGTCAGAGCCGATGAACAGAGTCGAGTTTCCACCGTTGTTCGTCTTCAAGATGTCCAGTTGAAGTTGTAAATAATTTCGTCATAAAAGCATAAGCGTGGATATTGCACAATTTTACATGACTAGATAATATTGTAGCGTACTTTTCAGACAACAATTATGACTAAATAAGTTCACTCTAAATTCAATTTTTTGTCAAACTGAGCGAAAAGGCTTTGTGACAATTTGAAGAGACTGTATTATTTTCCGATGCATTTCTTAGTGAGTGGGAATGAACCGCGTGAAATATGTGACTCTACAAAACTGGTTGGACGAGAAAGTCGTCCACAACTTCGGCTGTACGTCTGGACGGATGCTTCATGGAAACTACTGATCCAAATCATATCGTCTTTTACGAAAAAATCTTTGATATGGCCCTTATTTTCTAGATTTCTTTTATTTTCTTCGCTTATTGATGTCACCCTGTATTTTTGCTAATGCAGAGAGCTCAAAAAATAAAGCCCAAAATAACTTTAGAATTCTATGAAACTCACAGAATGTCCTAAAAATACGCTTTCTCGGTTTCATTCATAACCATTAATTCAACTCGAAAATTGTTAACGAAAATTTTCGATAGAGATTCATTTAGCCGGTTTTTCTTATAAATAGTTTACAAAAGAAAGGAATGAGAGTGGCTCTTTGCCGGGAGTACAAACATTCGTATGGATTGATCTTTTACTGTTTCTTTTTGACTATAATTTTCTGTCGAGACAATTATACTTGTATTTACTCAATCACGCTGCTGTTAATCTATCAAAGGAGTCTGTTTACTTGTTTTACTTTCTTCCCTGCCTTGATGAGAAACCTGGTTGCCGTGTAAGAAGGAAGAAAGATCACTCATCGTTATTGAACGCACACTCGCCGCACTAGGAGTATTCCGTGTCGCATAAGTAGCGGAGAGAACCGAAGGTCCAACCTACGTCAAATATAACAAATTAAAGATGCCGTTCTATAAGCGAAACTTTCGATGATAAGGTGGGCCAGACACGCAACACGTTTGAGCGACGACCGTTGGACGAGAATCGTTAGTGGCTGCATTCCTTGAGTTGTTAAATGTACTGCAAAAAAGACACCTATAAACAAAGTTCTTTACGAGAGGTCTATAAGAAAGAAAGGTGTTATACTTCACGAACCCTAGAACGAGCATCCACTGGAGTTCCTTTCTACGCGACGGGGAAAAATTGAAGAATTGCTGGGGCACGGTCGAGTCACTCGACGATTAGCAGAACGACGTGAGATGCGGGTGACTTTGCTTTCACTCTCACTAACTGCAATTGTTTTCTTTATCTTCTGATCAAAACACCACTAAATCTTAGGTGAAGTTTTTGACGTTGAATCTACACGACTCAAGAGTTTGTTTCTTAATGTCTATGTCGGCTGGCCATTAGACGGATTCAAAATTCAGTGGAGATCGCTAACAAAATACCCCAAACCCTCTTACCTCCTAACAGAGAGAATCGTGCTACAATATTGAAATCTGGTCCATATATCGATAAGATGATGTCATATTATTGGCTTCGATGACATGATATCTCAAGACTTGTTGGTGAAGAACTAGAAGGTTGACGTCATGTGGTACACAAAGCAAATGCGAAACCCTGCAGGTAAAATGGTCTAGAATCGTTTTTTTCCTGTATGACAAGTCTTAAAATTGATATGGACGGTGAGCATTTCTGCTGACCTCCCACAACTAACTCTATCACTTTTGTTGCAAGAAGTTCTGTTACTAAGAAAGCTTTTACCAAATTCAACTCCTTATATTCAATCCTGTTTTTCTCTAAGATGTCGCATAATGCCTTCACTTACCCGATTCTTTCGACGTAAAACTTTTTCTTCATTCCTGATGCTGTTCAACGTCATTCAAGGATGTCTATGACCGAATGTGCAATGTGAGAAGGGTGTAGAAATTTATCACAAATGAGAAATTAACCGTCATGACATATTCATATCGAACAATTTAAAGTTCGTTTACATATTATGTGAACTGGTCCACAATTCTACAATAGTAAGAAAATCTTCTAGACTTTCATAACCAGCTTTCATCGAGCAATCGTAGATGGGAAAATGCTCAGTACGAGCAAGTGTTCGGTCGGTGGGTGCTGCTGTTCCAAATTTACATACAGCGAACTAAGGTCAAAACTATGATTATGTTAGTGCGACTCGATGTACTAAATACAAAATGCCCAATAGGGCAATACCTAGACTGCTGCTGCTCTTTAGGGGTGAGCAGTTAATGAGTGTCCGCAGCTCTGCCTTGAATGGAGTGATTTGTCGTTGCCATAAAAATGTTATCAATTCGGTAGTTGAGAAGAATACATTCTGATATAGCAACATTCGAGGCAATAATTAGGTCAACAGCCTTTAAAAAGGTTCTGTCAATACCCGTCAAGCAGATCCTTGAGAGAAAAGTTGTATACGAAGGTAAAAACGTCTCCTGGTTAATCAATCCCTTAGAAAATTTCGTAGAAGCCAGCCATGCTTTTGATTTTTCAACCATGTCAGAGATAACTTAATGCCGCACAATGATTTGTGCTATCATACGAATTTTACAAGTCCGCATTGCTGAGATCCCAAGCAATTCTGGTAGCAATTATGAGAGGGCGGACTGGTAGAAAGCTTGATGAGCCTGTTGTTCTTGGGCAAAGTATCGACAATGAGAGTGTTGCAAGGCAACTTTTGCCACTGCGCTACACATGCCCGTAGTACTGTATAGTTAGTAGCCAAATAAACATCTCGTATCAACCTCGTGTAAGCTGAAGAATATAAAAAAATGTTGATCATTACAGTGCCGATGTTAAATTATGGTCGCTTTCAAAATTATTGTTTTGCTATCTTAACCCT